GCTTACTTGGATGGTGACATAAAACCCATTGGTGCTTATGTTTCATCAAGATTATGTTTTGCAATGCAGTGCAAAGTGTTCTCAATTTCAGACTCCTGGAAGTGGTTAGAACCATAGATCTGTGTAGAATCTAACATTAGAGTAAAGAAGCTTGGCCCTTTCTCTCAGGCTTTCCTGGAAAATACTGTGCATATACGGGAGAATTAGTAAAATCCTTTTATTTTATTTGTACTGCCAAATATTTATAACTACCATAAAAGGAATATAAATAAAGAGCACTCCATGTTCTATACTTCTGAAATCCTTTTTGCTAGCTACGCCTAATTGGGGTGTTGTTCAAACAATCTTCTACTAAATTTCCCATAAAACTACTGCCCAAATAGGAGTATTAATAGATCTGTGAAGAAGATGAAAACAACAGTACAGTGGGCCTGAAACATTTCTCTGCGTCAAGACAGAATTAAACCATGGTCAAAGAAGTTACAGCTAATCTAATTTTAACATAATGCAACACTACATTTTGTTGTGATTTATGCTTTCTTTCTACTCAGTCTAGTTGTTTTGGTGTATCAGATATCCCATATACATTGACTTTTTTTCATTTGGAAGTTAAGTAAAAGGAAAAAGAAAATCCATTACATGTAAAGCTGAAATAATAATAAAAGGACTTCAAGTGTTATGTGCAACTGCTATTGCAGTATTCCAGAATTACACAAAAGGACTGAAATGTGATACCCCTACATCAGCAATTAATAAGATATAAAATAGGGTCTAAATCATCTGTCATAGAACAGAAAAGAATATATGGCTTCAAAGAGTGAATTAACAACTTAGAATTTCATTCTAGCAGAATAATATATGTGTAATATAATATTATAGCATTGGGTTCTCAAAAGAAATAAATAGTAGAAAACTGTTATAAAAGAAAATTTCACAAAAGACATGGAAAAAAGGAATAAAATGGTGCAAATTCAGATAATCACTATTTAAGCTCATTTTTGGTGAGAAATTTTATGGCTATCAGAAAAATACTCTTTGCTGTAAGAAAATAGTTTTGTGGACAGGATTAGTTTGTTCAAATATGTACCAAGCTCTTCCATGAAACTCTGAACATTACTAAACTCTAACAAATAGAAATAATAAGAATTTTGCTCTGTGACACTTGGCCAGAACTGATTTTTTCTGCATTACTCAGCACTACATGTTTCTCTGTTGTCTGTGCTTCAAGTTACTGGTCCATGTGTTACTGAGCAGCATTGATGAGCGCATTTCCCTGCTTCTACCAGATGTATCCAATTGTGGGGACAGTGAAAAATAACAGCAAATATCTGTGAACTAGCTAAATCAGGATTCTATTTGAATAGGTCTTCAATGAAGCATCCTGTTCTGTAAAATTGAATTAGGATACTTTAAATGTTGTTAATGATGGTACTTTAATTCTATCATCTTTCCTGTTTTTTGTTTCTTTATTTTTTGGTTGTTTTTCAGAAGTTTCTGCAATATTTGCAGCCATTCCTTTTATTAAAAGGTGATAACTTTGTTAAAAGTTTCTGGTGAAAGGTTTGCTTAGAGGTTAACAGGTTCTAGGATTTTACTGTAGAGCAGCTTCAGTTCAGCTGATGGAATGATTATCTAGATTATATTTTTTTTAACCTTTTATGGAACAGAGAATTCTGACTGATTGGCTCTTTTATATTGACGTATGTCATGATTTCTTAGTCGTTTAGCACAATAGAAGACTTCATATGCTTGCTGTGAAGTCTTCTATAGAATACTCATGCTTAAAATGTTGCTTAAATGTTACAACTATTGCTGTGCTACGAGTTGGGGTTCTTCTAAGAGTTTGAGTTGTGCCATAATTACACAGTTTATAGAGATCACTTGCAGTAAATATGAAAAAGAATCAAAATTCTTGAAGTAATTATGTACAGTATTTTGTCAAATGGTCTAAACTAAATCAGCCATCTCTAATTGCAATTTTGCAGGCAAAAACAGTATCAGAAGCACAATATGGTAGTTTGTGAGCTATATAATATTAAATGTGCCAAAACATACACAGAAACTAAAACCATTTCCATTTCTTAAAATCTAGCTGCTAAATGTATACACTTAATATGTTTATCTTTCAAAAAATGTTTAATCAACACTTTGCTGGATAATGCACAAGATATGGAAGAATAAACAAAACTCAGAGAAGGCAATATAGTAGAAATGTAGGCAAGCTTGGGAAATACAGATTCACAGATTCACAGAATATTTAAGGTTGGAAGGGACCTCTACAGATCATCTAGTCCAACCTCCCTGCTCAAGCAGGCACACCTAGAGCATGTGGCACAGGGTGGCATCCAGGCGGGTTTTGAAGACCTCCAGAGTAGGAGACTCCACAACCCCCCCTGGCAGCCTGTTCCACTGCTCTGTCACCCTMACAGTAAAGAAGTTCCTCCTCACCTGGAGACGGAACTTCTTATGCTTCAGCTTGTGGCCATTACCCCTC